AGAAAGAATTGGACAAACCATTATTTTGTATTATGTTGATTTTATACCCATAATCCCCAATCAAGATTGAAATAGTGTAAAAACGGCTTGAACAAAAAAAATTTTTTTTGATAAAAATATTCATCAGTCTGTTTATTGATATCCAAATGTTTGTTTTACAAAAATGTAAGTGGAAACATCATGTTACAATAGGATACGTAAGGCGAACTGGATGATTTTTACTATTACTATAAAACGTTACAAATGCGTCCCGCCGATCACTAATTAAAAGAATCACGAAATTATTTAATTACTCATTTATTAAAAATAAATACTTACCCTTGATAATGATTTCAAAATGCTTGTCCTAAAAACATCAGAAACACATCCAAGTCTGTTATGAATCTGTGTTATAGTATTAAATTTGGAATTTTTATATTTATCAATGAAAATTTCTAATCTTTCTTCTGACAATCTTTGTTTATGAAAAAAACATCATGCAACTCTTTAACAAACTGTTTATAAAAAAGATTATTTTGTGGTTCTCTGTTCATACTATGTAAATAAAGATCCAAAAAATGAAATAGGCCTTCTTTACTGGTGTATTTGGAAAACTGGATTTGTTAATTTTCAACAGTATAACATTGATCTGAATATCATGCCCAAGGGTGATTCTCAAAAATTTCAGATAAGATCTTTATCATTGTTTGTGTAATTTATGTATATTCAAATAAAGTTTATTTGAATAAAATGAATAATTCAATATGTATTAATGGATAGAAACCTTACACTCAAAAATTATTAGCTACTTCTACTACTATCCCAGCGATTATTACTATTTTATAAGACAAGTTTAAGCACTGATTTTCTTGTTGGCATTTATTTTTATTTCTATTTCTCCTTTGGACAGTCTTTTTGGACTGTTTGAAGTCCTAGTTTTAAATACTGCTTCAAAGAGATTTAATTTGTTTATTCCAAGCAATGTTTTGCTTGAATAATATTATTAAATAATTGGGGTTATGTTAGAATGTAGTGAGTTACTACATTCATGAGCTGTTTAAGTAATCTTTTTTATTTTTTATTATCATTTTTGTATCTACTGCAACTATTTGTCATTGTGTAATTTGTGTGAATGAGCACATACAGTAGTATTCAAGATAATGTCCTGTTCGTCAAATGTTTCATAATTAATTTTTGAGTATTCAGATCAAAACAAATCAACGAATTGTTTGAATCAATTGTTATTCAAATTAAAGTTGACATGTATTAGTATCAGTATTAGTATTACACATCATTCGAATTACTACCACTTGGTCAATGATTATTTTTCACCATCAAAAAAAGTTATTTTTAAAAGTTCGGCAGATTATAATTAATATTGATAGTAATTTGATTATCAGCATAGAGAGAAGAAAAAAAATGACAGAGCAGCTCAAGTAATCAAAACAAATATGAAATCATTGAAATTAACTTTAGATGATAAAATGAAATAACATATTTAGATATTACCAAAAGTATTACATTGGCATATAATTATGAATGATGACAATGACCTTATAACCTTTGGATGAATCAATTCTTGATAAAATCCATGCCAGTTAAAATTTCTGCTCATGCTTTGAATTCAGCACTTGAAACAAAATATGGCAATGTTATTTTATTATATGATGGTCCAACATTAAGACAAAGAGGGTTTTTAAACCATAAAACAATAACTTATCAATTTGCATTAATACAGAGTTTAATAAAATCATATATCAAAAGAATAAAATGCAAGTTACAAAAATGGTTGCTTGATATTTTTTCCATCAAACTACATTACATGTCTTCATAAATGTGTCTCAGTTTGAAAACAGTCATCAAGGAGAACTCCTCCACCCACCAAGAAAAAATAATTAAAAGTACTTGCTTTTTGAATATTTTGGTTTATTATTGGATATGTTGAGTAATGTGCACACTTGGTGAAAATGAAGTAAACTTGAGTTAATGGAACATTAGCACTCACTTCTTCCATCCACTTGGAGTAAATAAATATCACGAAAATTGTTATTTGAATCGTCCAGTTTTTCTTGCACATAAAACATACATAAATAAATACTATATAAAAAAGAATCAATTTAAAATCGTAACGAAATGCATGTCAATTAATCCCAGATAAAAAAGTAATCATTTTAACTGTTAAAACCCCATTGATATAATAAAAAGTTATAAAGAATTATCATCACCAGGCTATGTAACAGAATTGTTACACTAATTAAATTTTACCTTTTTTTCAAAATAAAAAAAAAATATTAAAGTTAAAATGTCACATAATAAATTATTATCATCAGTAACATCAGAAAGAAGGAACTTTGTATATAAAATTAATCATGAAATGTATAATAATGCTCTGGCTAATAATTCTGAAAGAGAAAGTAGAAAAGATTGTTTTTTTTCATTAGTTGAAAAGAATAAGGAATTTTCTGAGAATGAAAAAAAATTTTGTAGAGAATGGCTTATTTATAGCTTTGAATTAAATAATGTAACGTATAAATTTGGCAAACCAAAAGAATGTAACAAGTGTAAAATAACAAGATACTCTGATAGATTCTGTGAAGGTTGTATTAGTTTACA